TTATTGTCTAATTGCTTTGGCTAGGCCTTCAAATACTATGTTGAAAGTGGTGAAAGCAGACATCCCTATCTTGTTCCCAATCTTAAGAAAAATGCTTTGAGTTTTTGCCCATTGAGTATGATGTTGGCTGTGGGTTTGTCATATATGGCACTTATTATGTTTAGGTATGCTCCCTCTAATCCCACTTTGCTGAGAATTTGCATCATAAATGGGTGCTGGATTTCATCAAAGGCTTTTGATCATATGATTTTTATTTTCATTTGGTTTATGTGGTATATCACATTTATTGATTTGCATGTATTATACCAACCTTGCATCACCAGAATAAAGCCCCCTTGATCATGGTGTACAATCTTTTTAATGTATTGCTGGGTCTGGTTTGCTAATATTTTTTGATGATTTTAGCATCTATGTTTATCAGGAATATTGGTCTATAATTTTTGTTTTTCATAGTTTCTTTACCTGATTTTGGAATTAGAATAATACTGGCCTTGTAAAGTAAAGTTTGTACGGATTGCCTCCTCTTAAATTTTTTGAAATAGTTTGAAAAGAATAGGTGTGAGTTCTTCTTTGAATGCTTGGTAAAATTCAACTGTGAAGCCATCTGGTCTAGGACTTTAGCTTATGGGGAGGTTTTATTATTATTATTATTATTATTATTATTATTATTGCATCAATTTCATTAGTTGTAATTGGTATATTCAGACTTTCTGATTCATTCTGATTTAGTTTAGAAAGATTGTATGTTTGTAGGAATTTATCCATTAGATCCAGATTGTCCAATTTGTTGGCATATAGTTGTTCCTAATGTTTTCTTACAACCCCTTTTATTTCTGTGGAATCAGCTGTTACTCCTCCTCTTTCATTTCTGATTCTACTTATTTGGGTTTTCTCTTTCTTTTTGTTAATGAGTCTGGTTAAAATTTTATTGATCTTGCTTATCTTTTCAAAGAATCAGCTCTTGATTTCATTGATCTTTTCTATTATTTTTTCAACTTTGTTTCATTTATTTCTGTTCTGATCATCATTATTGCCTTCCTTCTACTCATTTTGGGCTTTGTTTATTCTTCTTTCACTAGTTCCTTGAGGTGTAGAGTTAGATTGTTTATGTGAGATTTTTCTTGTTTCTTGTGGTAGGCTTATAATGCTATGAGTTTCCCTGTTAGGACTGCTGTCCCTGGGCCCACTAGATTTTGGGTTGTGTTCCTATTTTCATTTGTTTCCAGGTAGCTTTTGATTTCTCTCTTGATCTCTTTCTTAACCCATTCATTATTTAGTAACATGCTATTTAGTTTTAATGTTTTGTGTTTTTCAGTTTTCTTCTGTGATTGATTTCTAGTTTCATACTATTATGGCCACAGAAGATACTTATATCTGGTATCTTCTGGTATCAAATATTATATCTGGTAAATTTCATGCCTCCATTTAATTTAGCTCTTTTTCTGGAGACTTCTCCTGTTCTTTCATTTGGGGCATGTTTCTTTGTCTCTTCATTTTGGCTGCCTCTTTGTGTAGTTGTGTCTATGCATTGGGTAGATTTCATATGACTCTTTGTAGGGTGGCCTGATGTAGTAGGTGGCCTGTGGGGACCAAGTGGCACAATTTTCTCGATCACCTGAATTGGGAGTTCCGGGAATGTCCCTTGTGTGCATTATGTGAGCTCTTCTGTTATAACTGAGTCTTAATTGCTATTAGCCTGTTTGTGTGTGGGGTCGACCCTCAGGCTGGCTGACTGTGAGGACTGACCCCAACTAAAATGTATGAGCTGCAGTGTAGGTGCTGACCACACAAAGCAGAATTCACCTCAGCAGGGTCTGGTGCCTGCTGAGATCTCCCTTTGGATATGCTGCTTGTGAAGCTAATTGGATCCTACTTTGATGTTTTCTGAAGCACATCACTGGGTGTGTTGGTTCTGTGGCCTCCTGGGAGGGCCTCTGGTGCTGGCCAATGTCAGATGCTGGTGGTGACTAGCACTGAGCAACCTGTTTGGAGCTACAGAGAGATCCACAGATTATAGCTGCCTCTGCTGAGCCTGGGTGTGTGCAGGAAGCACCAAGCTGTGCACCAGGCCTGGCTTTTACCAGCATTAAGCCCAGGCACGTCAGCAAAAGTCCCATGGCACACTGAGATCTCTTCTGCCTGCCTCTACCTAGCAGCTACCTGATAGGATCAGTCACTGAAAGAGCCTCTGATGGTACTCTCATTGCATGATGTAGATTCTCAGTGAGTCACCAGGTAGGGAAAAGTGGTGTTTACCAGCTGATACAGGTTCAAAGTCAGTGCCAGTGTTTGGTCTAATGCCACTCAGCAAATGCCCTAGGGTACACCAAATCAAGCTGCCACCTGCTGGTTGACTGCAGACCTTCGTGGTGGGGCAGGGTCTCAAGGAGTCATGATGGTGAGACCAGGAGAATTTATTAAATCCAGACAGTCCAGACAGATGGCTCTGTATTGACCAGGCATGTGATGAATAAGTGGCACTTGTTCTAGAGCCACACAACTCAGTGGTCCAAGATTTTGCCAGGAGCCCTAGCTCAACAGAGTAGGGCTGCTGGGAGTGAAAACAGTGGGGCTGGTGGATATCCTTTGAGACAGAGGTGCCAGTCAGTCTTGGGAGGACATTGGAGGGGAGGCCCACATCCCACAGCCATACAACTCAGTCTGTCTGGGATTTTGCCCAGACCTCAGCAAGGCAGGCCCACAGCTAGTTGAGAGGGTAGGGCCACCTGGAGCATGCAGGGTGGGGCTAGAGGAACTCCACTGAGAAGGAAGTGCCAGTCAGGTTCATGGGAAAGTGGAGGAATGGTCGCAGCCCCAAAGCCACACCACTCAGTCATTGACACTTTCTGCCTAGACCTCTACACCCTGGCCCAGGGCACGAGCTCCACAGGGAGAGGGGAGACAGAGTCCAGAAGGTATGCGTATTGTATTCCCCCAGGCTGATGCCAGGAGGAGGAGCATGATCTCCCTAAGAAAGGTGATGTCTATGGCGTGGGACAGTGACTCAGCACAGGGGTCCCAGCAGCTGTCCCCTCGGCTCTCTCCCCAGAGCCACAAAGCCCAGTTCTCCTCATGCTGCTCCATTCTGCTCCACCCTTTCTCCACCATGGCACAGGGTGAGTGGATACAAACAAAACTCTGTGTGTTGGCCCTTTAAGATGATGCCTGTGTCTCTAGAAGTTTCCTCTTTCTCCCTGGCAGACAGAAAGAATCCCTGCTGATTATCACAGCCAGAGACTATGTGTGTACCTCTTCCTGTCTCTGGTGCTCTGGGCTGGGGATCTTGGCTTGGGGTTCAGACCCCAGCTCCTCAGGGGGAGCCTTGGCAGCTGAGACATTCTTCCAAAATCTCAGCTGCTGCCTGTGGGAGTGGGACCAGCCCTTTTCATGTCTACATTCTTCCTACCAGTCCCAATGTGGCTTCCTCTATAAATCCTCATTTATAAGATTTCTATTCAGCTGGTATTCAGTTGGGTATTCAGGTTGATTGTTGTATATTTTAGTTGTAATTTCAGTTTGGTCCTGGGAAGAGGTGACACCTAGTCTGCCACCATCTTGGATCTCTGTTTTCTCAATATTTGAAACAAAATTTTGTTATAGCCATCTGACTCCTGAAGGGCCTACTAAGATCCTGCTTTTCTATTATCCCTGTGGCTACAACCCCAGGACGGATTGATTCATGCCTAAGTCCAGGAAGCAGGTAATTTGGGAAAGAAGAAAAGAATCCTGAATCCAAAACAAAAATGTGAGAGATCCTGAGTCACGAGATGTGCAAAGGGTTGTTTCCCCATCACTACTCCCCTTTTCCTTCATCCAATGGGTCTCCTTAAACAAAATACATGTCTGAAATTCCTGAACAACTTTATTTTTCATTTATTAAAAGAAGCTATTTTATATAAGAAGCTTAAAATAATATGAAGGTATTTTCAGAATTTTAATAACTACCAATAAAGTAAATTTGATCCAGAAACCTTATAAGAACAGTTTGTTGTACACTTCACGCCTTCTGAAGTAAACTCCCATTCAGTGAGCGCCTGGGATGTGTTAAACACTGTACTAGGATATTTGATTTAAATGATCTGATCCAGCCTTCACAATAATCCTTAGTCATATAGTCCATCCCTTTCTTTACAGATATATTCTCTAAGACTCAGAGAGTGAGTTACTTACCAAAGTTATTTAATCTGCAGCTAGTATACAGTCTAGAGCCAGGGGTGTCAAACTCATTTTCACTGGGGGCCACATCAGCCCACAGTTGCCTTCAAAGGACCGAATGTAATTCTAGGACTGTGTAAACGTAACTACTCCTTAACGAGGGGCAAGGAGCTCGGCACTGTTGCCAGGTAGAAACAAGGTGCTGGGCCAGACAAAACAAGGTGGAGGGCCGGATTTGGCCCCTGGGCCTTGTGTTTGCCACCAGGCAAACTTGTGGCAGACCTTCCCCTAGGACTATTTAATTTTCAAACTTAACTTAAAAACTCTGGATATTGCACATAAACTATAGTTTAAAGCTCGGTTTAAAATTCATATGGTTCTGGGTGAAAGTCCTTACTAGGCACTTACTAGTATGGACCTTAAATACGTGTTTCTCTCTGTGTTAGTTTCCTTACCTATAAAATGAAAAAAAAATTAGTCCTACCTCACTGAGCTTTGAAAGGATGAAATAAGATAATTCACATAATAAGCACAAGAACTGCTAGCTATTGATATGATCTTAAATGTCAAGCTGGTTCCAAATGGAATAAATACAATAATTACATACAAATATTGCTCTCAGCTATACAGAGGTTGGATTTCCACATGTGTATGCTATTTTACCCTTCAATTAGTCCTTCTTTTCTTCAGTCAATGTAGTAAAACTTTTGATGGAAAAAAATACACACACACATAAACATATATATGAAGCATGTGCAGTTAATGAATCTACAAGGACCATCTCTGCAGACTCATGTTATCTCTTGAACACAACTCCCTATTCCCAGGCAACCCATTTCACTCACCTGCTCTGGATACTTGCTACCAATGATCTCTGCTACAGTGTTGAAGGAATCAGCATCTGCATAATTCTTTGCTCCCATCTTCAGCTGGATGACAATTCTGCTCCCACGAGAAGCCATTCGTGACATCATTTCTGCATCTTCCACTGTAATACAGGCTGTTGGGATTTTTGGCACACCATCCTGGTATTCCTGAACACCTGTGTGAGGACTTGAGAAAATAAACCACCAGGTTACCTTAGAGGTAGAAACAAACCACAAATATTGTTTTAAGTCTGTATTTGACACTTGATTTTCACTGATTTTTGTTTGTATATGAGGAATAGGACAAGTGGGCAATATTGTCTTATTTGCTTTTGATGTAAACATAGTGTGTCTCTGTGAGAAAATAACTTAGAAACGTCAGTTTAATAATTATCTCATAGAAAACATTATAGAAAATTAATTTTGATAACTGGATGATTCTTCAAAGTTGCCGACTGCCTCAACCTTGGAAGAATGTTAAGAGTGCCTTGTGAACAAGAGGTGAACATGTGGGTTCCAGGAGATAAAGGGAGCTCTGAAGTCCATCATGGCTGCAGACACACACATCTGGAAAAAAACTGGTCCAGATACACCCAGCTCTCTGGTCACTGACTGGCTCTGGGGCTACTCTTTTCCCACTCAAACACGGAGGTCTGAATATGTAGCCTTGATTGGTGGTAGAACACTATGCAGAAAACTGTAGAACAATAGGAAATGTTTGTGTTCCCATGAAGGAAAGTGGTGAAATAAACCCAAGTACCTAACTGTACTGCTATTTAAAAAAAAGAAAACTATTACATTCTGGCTCTACAGGAGAAATATTACCCCAATGGGTCAGCTTTTTCCTGCTAATTTCCAGATGCTTCTGACATTACTAGCAACATTTGTAAATGAAGTTTATATTAATCTGTTGATTCAACCTCTATGTGCTAATTGAGTTTATCAAACATATTTTCTAAAATGGCTCTTTCAAACAGTCCCTTTCCACCCTGCTGGACCACACTCCCTCAGGACCAAGCCGGCACAGCATCTGAGTACACACTTCATCATGTCATCTCTTCCCACCTCTGTCAAAGCACAAGCTAAGGGCCTCCCTTTTAAAATTAATTTTTCTTGGCAATGGCAGGGTAGGTCAGTTGGTTAGAGTGTTGTCTTGATACACCAAGATTGTGGGTTTAATCCCCAGTCAGGGCTCATATAAGAATCAACCAATAAATGCATAAATAAGTGGAACAACAAATAGATATTTATCTCCCCCTCTCTAAAAAAATCAATAAATAAAAATTAAAAATTGAATAATTTTTCATATTTGTTCCCGATTGTCTCATATTTACAGAAAAGCCCATTTCCTCCTTTCAGCCACAATATATTTCTCTCCTATCAAACTGACTCCAACCTCCACATGCATAAACACAATAACTCATTATCATTGCGCTCTTGGTGGGACTGTATTTCTGTGACCATATGTAAAGTGACTGTTTACTTACTTAGAAAAATTGCATAACAATAAATAATAACAGGCTCAGGAGCAAAACTTTCTGGGTTCAAATCTGGGCTCTGCCACTTATTGCTAATTGACCTTGGGAGAGTTCAATATATTTGCTGTAGTGGTTTCATTTAGAAATAAAGGTGATAATAATAATACCTATTTCATAGAGTTACTTTATACATTTAATTTTTACAAGTAAATCACTTACTTTGGAACATAGTAAGCACTCAATAAATGTCAAATATTTATTTTATTAACTTGTTCATTACATTATTTCTATTAAGTATGTGTAGGCTCAAGTCCTTAGTTGCATCTGAGAACTCCATTATTAATATTTCTCAAATGTTGACTGAATACGTTATTCCTTATCAAGAGAAAGACAAATCACTAATAAATTCGAGGCTCATAACACAGAGACCCTGAGTCGGAATCCCTTCTGTGGAATATGCCTGATCTGCTCTGACTTCGGCTTCAGGATGGGCTACGGAGTCACACAGCCTAGATCAGTTCCTGGCTCTGCCATTCTCCACCTGCCTGATACCAAGCAACTTCAATGACCTCTCTGTTTCTGAGTTGCCACATCTGGAAAGTGGAAAATAGTATCAGTATTGACTTCATTGGATTGCTATGAGGAATAAAAGAGACAGAATATGCAAAGGACTTAAAACAGGGCTTTCACACAGTAATTATTTGGTAAACATCAGTTATTATTATTATTTATTCAGTGCTAATTTTTCCCACTAAAATGGTAGAGTGATTAATGACCAGAAGTACTTTGAAACAGGTAGGGAGATAATCTAAATATTTATTATTCATATTACCTTACATGATGTCTGAGATTCAACAAACTCTCCTTGTTCTCAGACTCTCTTATTCAAGAAGAGGTCCATATAACACTTCTGGACCTCTTCTGAATAGGCTCTTTAAATAATATTTCTAAACAAATCTGTACTAACAATTTACAGCTAAGTGTTACCAAAGAGGGGGCAGTGAGCCAGCTGGGCATGCACGCATGGCTCCAGTGAAGAAAATGGCACTGAAAGGCATTTTCCAACTATGGGTCTGCATTCAAGATGTAAAAGCCTTATAATTTGTGTAACTAAGCATGTCCCCCAGTGGTAGAGTATGTAGCCCTGTTTACTAGAAGTAGACAGAATAAGGAGTTAGTCGTTTTATTTGGAGTCCTGTACTTTCACTGTCAATTGCCCCACAGAGAATGATCAGCATGAATATCATCTTCCTGACCCATCTGCAATTGAACAATAGCAAAGGGCAAATTACAAAGAAAACCATAATAGTCAAAATAAATACACTTAAAAATTAACACCAATTCTTTACAAACTCTTCCATAAAATACAAGATGAGGCAACACTTCCAACTCATTCTGTAAGGTCACTATTACTGATGTCAAAACCAAGAGACGTCACATCAAAACTATAGACCAATGTCTCTTATGAATATGAATGCAAAAAATCCTCAACAAAATACAAGGAACCTGATACCAACATATGAACATATGAAAAGGATTATATATCCCAGGACGAGTTAGATTTACCCTAGAAGTACAAAGTTGATTTAACATCCAAAAACCAATAAAACAAAGTGGGCAGTCTCCTATTTCCAAATATCAAAACTTACTACAAATCTATGGTAATCCACAAAGTGTGGTATTAGTATGAAATATACATTGACAGTAGAATTGGGTCCAGAAATAAACCTTTATAAGAACAATCATTCATTCTAACAAGGGTGCCAACACTATTTAATAGAAATAGAAAAACATTTTCAACAATATCTGGAGTCAACCAGTCTCACGCAAAAGAATAAAGGTGTACCCCTATATTAAAAATCTACAAAAATTAATTCAAATGAATCACAGACCTAAACATAAGAGTTAAGCTATCAAATGTCACAACCTTGAGTAAAGAAAATCCTTCTTAGATACAATACCAAAAAATAAATTCAACAACAGAAAAATTGAATAAATTGAACTATCATTATTGTAAACTTTTGTATTTCAAAATATATCATTGAGAAGTGAAAAGGCAGTCCACAAAATGGAAAGATTTAAAAATCATGTATCTGATAGAGCACTTCTATCTAAGAGCTCTTAATTCAATAATGGGGAAAGAATTTGAATAGGTTTTCTCCATAAGAGAAATGCAAATCAAAACCACAGTGAAATGTCACTTCACACCCATTAGGATGGCTATCATTAAAAAGACAGATAAAAAGTATTGGCAAGGATATCGAGAAATTCGAACACTTGCACATTATTAGTGGGAATGTAAAATGTGTAATAACTTTGAAAACTAAATTTACAGTTCCTTAAAAAGTTAAACATCTAGTTATCATATAATCCAGTAATTCTACACCTAGGCACCTACTCAAGATAAATGAAAATATACGTTCATATAGAAATTTGCACATATATGTTCATGTTCATATATGTTGAGTATTCACAATACTCAAAAGGTCAAAACAACCCTTCATCAACTGATGAATGGGTAAACAAAATGTGGTACATCCATATAAGGAACGTTAATCAGCTATAAAGAAATAATGTCCTTCAGCCAAGATGGACACATAGGTAGACATACTGTACCTCCTCGCACAACCAAAATTCAGGACAACAAAAATTTAGAAACAAATAAGCACCCAGAACTGACAGAAAATTGAACTGGATGGAAGTCCGACTACCATTCATCCAGACTGGTAAGAGGGGCGGAGTCAGCGGCCCGTGGAGAGGGGCCCGGCAGAAAAAAGCAATGGTTGGCAGACCCAGGTGTGGGGTGGCAATGAGCAGACCCAGTGAGGTGCACAAGGCAGCTGGCTGACTGTGGTCACACATTTGCATGCAGATAAACAAGGCAAAAATGGGCAGCAAGACAGACCTTGCAACCCAGGGCCCCAGTGCTGGGACATAAAGCCTAAAAGCACCAATTGAAAAAACTCGTGGGAGTTGAGGTGCCAGGAGAGACTCCCAGCTTCGCAGGGAAGTTTGTTGGAGAGACCCACAGGGTTCTACAATGTACACAAGCCTACCCACCTGGGAACCAGCACCAGAAGGGCCCCATTTGCTTGTGGGAAGTGGCAGAAGGAACTGAAATCCAAGAGAGAGTGAAGCAAGCACCATTGTTCCTTCTCTGACCCCACCACCACATACAGCATCACTACCCAGTGACTGGGTTGCCTTGCCCTGGTGAACACCAAGGCTCCCTGCCTCACTACATAACAGGCATGACCAGACCAAAAAAAATGGTTCAAACGGAAGAACAGATCAAAGCCCCAGAGCCAATACTTTTAACTGACCAAGAAATAGCCAACCTATCAGGTGCACAGTTCAAAGTGCTGGTGATCAGAATGCTCACAGAATTGGTTGAATTTGGTCATAAATTAGATAAAGAAATGAAGGCTACACTAGGTGAAATGAAGGAAAATGCACAGGGAACCAATACTGATGGGAAGAAAACTGGGACTCAAATCAATGGAGTGGACCAGAAGGAAGGAAGAAATTACCAAACAGAAAAGAATGAACAAACAAAAATTCAAAAAAATGAGGAGAGGCTTAGGAACCTCCAGGACATCTTTAAATGTTCCAACATCCAAATTATAGGGGTACCAGAAGGGAAAAAGGAAGAGCAACAAGTGGAAAAGTTATTTGAATAAATAATAAAGGAGAACTCCCCCAATCTGGC